CTGTCTTGTGCTCCCATGCAGGCAGAGACCTGCTCAGTGGTGATGTCACGTAGATTTTGTGATTGTTTCTTGAGAACGCTTGTGCCCATTCGGGCTCAGCAGACCCCAAGGAGGCCTGGAGCAGAACGCCCTACCCCTGTTCTGGCTCTCACCACCGCCCCAGGCCATGGGCCAGGGAGACGGCACACCTTGGCTTCTAGGTCTACAGGTTTGGATTGGATGGGAAAAATAACTAGCCATGCTTCATTTCCTGGGTAGAGAACAGCTTCATTAGAGCCCTCGATGCTGTAGGGTAGGGTGCGTGTGCCAAGCTACTTGACCTGGTTCTCTCCAGCCCAGGGTTCCAGCTCTTCCTGGGCCTCCTGATGCAGCATGTCTCTGCCAGGCCCTAGATCCACTTAATCTGCAGCTGTCCAGTCCTTCCTGTCTTTCTACTCATTGCTACTTTCTTCAGTTAGGTCCTGGACCATTAGAATATTCTAACTGGTCCCTCTGGCCTTGGTGTCCCCATCTAAAGGACTTTTGTTCTCACACCTACCTCGTCTCATCAAAGATGGGTCTGGTTCTGCCATGCCCTATCACAGCTCTCCAGTGGTTCCCCAAGTTCCCGTTGCCCACAGGGCTCGGTCCACATCTTTCTCTGCCCTCCAGCAATTGACCACACTTGCCTCCCACCCCAGCCCTTTCCACCTATGTCTGTCCAGACTGGACAGCTGAAGTTGCAGAACACTCCGTATACTTTTCCATCTCTAAAGGTTGTACATGCCACAGTCCCCCAACCCTGGAGCCCCCTGGCAGCTTCTCCTCCTCCATGTGCCTGGGGACACCAGGAGCATTTCTGGCCTGGGAGGCCTATGCCCTTCATAGCTCGAGCTCAATGCCACCTGTTTAGGAGTGTGTGTTTGGAGGAGGAGCAGTCTCTTTGGCCCTAAGGTCAGACCAGACATTGTACAAAACTTGGCATCTGCAGGGTGCTTGTTGGCTGGATAATTGGAGCAAGTAGAGAGATTTGCTCTGTAACAGTTTGCTGGTAGATAAGATGTAAAGAGACTGGAGCCAGAAGTTGCCATGGCAACCTAGAAGTGATTGTGCCAGGGACAAGGATGCACTGCATTAGATGAAGCAGGGGCACCAACATTGCAACAGCACCCAGTGCTGAGGGCAAGGAGGAACTGGCCTCTTGGATTTCCCTGAAATGGTAAAAATGCTCAGTTATGGCTTACCTCTGTCCAGCGACAAGGTTCTCTCCTTTTCAAGGCACAGTCTAGTCTCTCTAGACACAGCTCAGCACCCAGAGGGGATTGAGATGACTCCACAGAAGGAGGGTGGTTATGTGCCTCTCTTGCATGGCTCCAAGGTTACAGTTGTCCCCAGGCAGAGGCTGCCAGTGTGGGGATTTAAAGGCCCACACTGGTGACTCTTTGAAAATAAACTGGAGCAACAAAAAGTAAATTCCAAACCTCCTCACTCCTCAAAACCCAGCTTGCCTCAAATCCCTCTAACTGCATCAGAGCTTGATTTAATGTTGCAACTGATTAAAACAACAATAACAACAACTCATAGCCTAAACAATGAAGGTTATAGATCTGCTTACTTGGAACAATCAGAAGCCAGGAGCTAGTGCGAGGCAGGTGGAAGGCCACTGAGGATTTTGTGGCTCTGCCTTCTGCCATGTCTGTTTCATGCTTAGACTGCAGCCAGTGGCTACCTGGCAAATCCAGCGTCTCCTCATGGTGACAGTGGCTGCTGTGTGTTGGGCTACATATCTTTACACCTTCCTCTTTCCCAGCACACAAGCAAGTGCTCGACAGAGTATCACTGGTTCTGAGCATGCTCCTTACTCATTTTTGTGCTGGTTAGGATAGCGAAGGGCCAAGGCCTGTGCTGACTGGGCAGATGGCCCAGCTGGAATCGGAGCTCAGTCCTTCTTACCCAATAAGAACAGCCAGCATTTATTGAGTGCTTACTATGCGCCAAGCCCTTAGCTAAGCTGTATATATATTAATCATTTTATCCTCCCAGCAACTCTAGAAAATGGGTGTAAGGAGGTTAACTAAGCTTGCCCAAGTCACACAGCTAGGTAATACCAGAAAGTGGAGGAGGCATGCTTTCCAAAGGAAGGTCATGGAGGCTGAGCCGAAAGCCACTGGCCTCTGTACTAACTGAGTTGTTGAGAGTACTGCCTCTCCTTCCACTTCCGCTTGCTCTTTCCCCCTCCTCCGTGTCCCATGAGTGGGATGGGGGGAAGAGATGGATACAGAAGGCCCTGGGAGGTTTGGCAAACTCGAGCAAGTGGGCTCCACCCCTACCATCAGGGGCAGGAGACTGCATTTCTGACAAGTTTCTGGATGTGGCTGCTGCTGCTGGTTCAGGGACCCCACACTCAGAGGTGCTACTGCTCTGGACATGCTGCCTAAAGGTCAGACTCTGGACCAGCGGCAGCAGTGCTGGAACTTGATAGGGACACAGAGGCTGAGTCAGGCTCTGGGTAGTCTCAGAGCCTCCAGGATTCCTCGCTATTCTCCATAAAGCCCATCAGGCTCCTCCTTGGGAGTAAGCCCCAAGGCCCTGGGTGGCAAAGCCCCAACCAGGCCACTGCTTCCTTTCCCGGCAGGGTAGGCCACATGCTTCACCCCTGCTGCCTAGAGTTAGGCGCTGATGTAATTCACCTGCCCACACAGCCAAACAAAGTATAGATCAAGCCACTGGCCATGTCCCTGCAGCTTTTGTGCAGAGTTATATGGGTTATTTCTCTTTTATATTTTGTTTTATGCCTTTGGTGAAAGCTAATTTCTTATGCGTTTCAAAATTCACGGGTTGTGCAGGATTCTTAAAACACTGGAGAAGGTCATCTCCTCTGCCACAGCTTTCATCAGCCCTGCCTGAGAGTTCCCAGAACTGCATGGCTGTGTGCGATGGATCCATTTGTCCCTTCAGTCTGCAGTTTGATCTGGATTTGTATCTACCCTCTTTGTGGTTTGGGTTTGTCGGTTTTGTGACAGTTTCATCAGGGCTGTCTCTATTGTGTCTTTCTCATTGTTCATGATCATTTTTATATAATAGTTCATATATTTTTCCCTCTCCCATTTTTTTCCTTCCTCATGTAAGTAGTGGACACGTGTGGACTGGTTTCCAGAAGCTGCTGGAGTGGTGGCCATATGCAGGGTTTTCTTCAGGATCAGGCCGTCAGGTAGTTGCTGTGTGTTTCGGGAGTGACAATGGCTGTCTGCCTGTATTACTGTCTTCCATTCTCCCTGGCCCAGTCTTCGCTCCATTTTTTAGTTTTTTCTAAGAACCAGGTTTAATTTTATTGCTCACCCCATTTTTATTCATTTCCTGTTTCAGTGATTTCGTTCCTCAATCTTCTTTATCCTCCTTCTACCTTCCTTGCATTGGTTCCATCATTACTTTTCTAACTTCTTGAATTAAATGCACAACTCATTCATCTAGAGGCCTTCTAGTTTTAGATAAGAGTCTGTAAAACCACAGCTTCCTAACTGTGCTGAATCATATCAGCACAGTTGGGCTCTGTACTATATTCCATATTGCTCTGCATTAATTATTTTGTAGTCTGTATTGCTATTTCACATACAATATATGGTTATGTGAAATAACCATATATTTTAAAAAATTACTTTTATTGGTTTCCATTTCCATTACACTATGGTCTGATTAAGTGGTCTGTGTACTGCTGATGATTTGAAATTTAGTAAGACCCCCTCTGTGACCAAGAGCTTGGCCAGTTTTCTCACTGTCTCATAGATGATTGTGTATACAGTACATTCTCCCTTTCTTGGGTGTAGGCACTATGTATGTTTTCCTGTTTGAGTTGAAATTTGCCTTTGATCTGGATGCCAGAAAATATCAGGAGGACCTTGGTAGAGATGTGAAGGGGAATAGTTGGTAACAGGAGGGTCTCAGGTGCATTTCTGCTTACTCAGATTCATAGTCCTGAGGGTGACAGATGAGGGAAATCAGATTACTGTTGATGTGAAGCCCTTGCAAGCTGGTTGTGGACACACAAAGGGGATTTTCATCAGCTGTCCTATCCTGAGGGCAATAATCCCTGTGAAGGGAGATTTGTGAAACTAAGAAGGAGGACACTCCTTTCCCTAAATAAACACAAATCATTGTGTAAAAAGGCCACTCACAGGGTTATGCTTGATGGTACAAGTAGCCAAGGAATGGTTCATCCATAATGTTGATCAGCATGTCCTTGAATTTGTAGGGCAGAAAGTCGAATAAGGCTTTGCATTTAGCTAGAACTCATGTAAATAAATCTTTTACCATTATGTGTACCCGATATTTTTCAATCCTCTTGAGATGTAGAGAGGGTTATTAATTTGGGGGGTTTAGTTGTGAGTTTAGAATTGCACCATGCAATACAATAGCCACTAGCCACAAGTGGCTTCTTAAACTTAAAGTGAACTGAAATGAAAGATTCAGTTCCTCTGGCACAGCAGCCACACTTTGAGGTCTCAGTTGTCCCCTGTGGCTGTGGCTGCAGTCTTGGGAAGCATAGACACTGAGCAGTCCCACCACTGTAGACATTTGTCAAGGTTAGCAATGGCGTGAAACTGGGCAACAACAAGAAGGAAAGAGGCTCAAAGGGGACCCACAGCGCAGAAGGAGGGCGCCTGGTGGGCGGGGTTCTGAGGCTTTGCACAGGGAAAGTCCTAGTTTCTTTGAAGATGTGGCAGCAGCCTCCCCTGCCCCCATGCTGACCCCTTGCCTGCCCTCTTCTCTCCCGCAGTGAGCTGAGGACCAGGTACCACATTACGGCCACCCCCAGGCTTGTGATCCTGAAACCCAGCGGGGAGGTCATCACCGACAAAGGGCGCAAGCAGATCCGGGAGCGGGGGCGGGCCTGCTTCCAGAACTGGGTGGAGGCTGCCGATGTCTTTCAGAATTTCTCCGCCTGAAGTTGGGGCTCTCCGGTGACCTGAACAGGTGTATGATACACCAGCTACTGCAGGGAGAACACGGTGCGGGAAGAGGAGGGAGTGGGTAAGTTCAGTTTATGTTAGAGCAGAAGCACTCAGCTCTGGCAAAAAGAAAACACTGCTCAGGAAGCATGCCCTCCCGTTTTTGTTCCCTTAGTCTTGCTTGTAGCTGTTTTTATTATTAGTAGTACAGCTTTCTCCACACAAGTTTAACTATGTTCACATTGAGCTATTGGAAATCTATGCAAAACATGTATTGATACAGGTTCTTCAGGTAAAGTAATATATTTATTGATGCATTTGCTGGAGATCTATTTATTATAAGGATATGCTTTTACAACTACATTTACTACTGAAGTTTGAAGAATTTATATGCTTTAATAAACAAACATTTCCACTGGAGCCCTCTGATTTCCTTTTTTCTCCTGGCAAACCAAGTGTTCTTATGAGGAAGGCGAAGCTCTCGGGAAATGCTGCTCTCAGATGCTTTGTTCTATTTCTCAAAGAGGGTAGTTTTTAATTATGAGTCTTCTTGGTTTTTTTTCTTCTCTTTGTTTTCTTTTCTCACATTTGTTTTTCATAGCATCATAATATCCTAGACAGAAGTGAAAATTTCAAGGCTGTGTAGTCATATCTTCAAGATCAAACCTCAGCATCTCCTGAAAGATGCAGGTGGCTCCAGGTGAACAAAAGCCCACACACAGCATTTGCTAATATTAAGAGGGGAGCCTTCGGGGTTCCAGTTTCTAGCCCTGGGCCTTTCTTCTGGCTGTCCCACATGGCCAGGCCCCTCGCTCCTTCCCAACTTTATTGTGATCAATAAAATTGGAACCCTGAAATACCTATACCCACTGCTAACCCAGCCCCCATCTACCACCCCACTGAGATCGCTGGGTCCCTCAGCTGGAAATTGGAGCAAAGCTGTCCCTTGTAGGACTCAGGAATCCCTGAGTTCCCCTAAGATACCTTGTGCAGAGCAGTGCGGGTCAGAGTGAAGAAGGTGCTGGGTTCCTCCTGTAAATGGGGGGGTGAGATCTGAGTCCGCAAAGGTGAGACCGCATTGTTGGCTTAATCGGAGCAGAGCTGGCGACTCCATGGTTCAGTCCCTTTGCCCTCCCTCCTCCTTTCTCTGTCAGTCCAGTTGTCTCCACTGGAGACTAAGACCCAGCATTACTGAGATCCATGGATTGACTAAAGACGTAGTTGATGGAGTTGACTAGGTCATTATTTGCCCCAGAAATACTGCTCTTAGGAATAGTACATGGGCTACTCATTTAAATGTGATATTTTTTTCCAGCTTTGTTGAGATATAATTAATAAACAAGATTATGTGAATTTAAGGTGTACAATGTGCTGATTTGATACACATATATATATGGCAAAATGATGACCGCCATAGCTCAGCTAGTGCCTCTGTCCTGTCACATGCTTACCATTTCTTTTTTTGTGGTGAGAACATTTAAGACCTAATTATGGCATTTTATTGATACATTCTTGGGGGTGAGTGGGCATTTCTTGTGGGTGGGATGTCCACAAACTGTGCATGTGTGTAACCACAACCACAGACTTCTTAAAAGCTGGAAATACATCCCTCTTGATCAACATGCTTGTAGCTGCCACATTGCCTCTGTGGGCTGGAACAGTATGGCTGCAGCCTGGGGTGCTCAATGGGCTGTGTGTGTGCTGGGTTCTTGGGCACCTGGAGAAAGGAAAGGCCTTGGGCAGAGGCCATTCCACAGCCGCACCGACTATGCAGGCATGTGCCTTCTCCCCCAGGGTGTGGCCCAGGCTGGGAGAGTGATGCATCATTTATGTTATGTTGTTACCAGAAGATATTTGTTTTAATAACGTCCCTAACAATTAATTTTCTTAATTCCAGGCAGAGTATATTGAGCCTTCTGTCGGGGAACTGTTTGCTGTTTGTAACTGGTTGCTATTTCTACACATGCCTTTTTGCCACTTATAGTAACAATAACGAAACACACTCATTGTGAAAAATTAGGGGAAAAGGCCTGTCTTCCAGAGGTGAAGCCACTCCTGGTGTTTTAGTACATGTATTTGTCCCACTAGAGTGACCCATCATTGTTTTCCCTGCGACGACTCACTGATTTCCATCCTCACCCTACGGCCCTGAAGCCTGTGTGTGGTCCTGGACCACTAGTGGCAGCGCTACTCTTCACCACCGTAAGTGCAGTGGGGAGCTTATGAGACATGCAGCATCACGGCTGTTGTGGTCACCTTGGGCACCCTTCACAAAACACTGCAGACATTTATTTCTCACAGCTCTGGAAGCTGGAGTTCCAGATCCAGGTGCCAGCCTGGTCGTTCTGGTGAGGGCTTTTTGCTGCTTACAAATGTTTGCCTTCTTGATGTGTACTCACGTGAACAGAGAGCATTGGCATCTCTTCTTACAAGGGCACTAATCCCATCACCAGGCCCCACCCTTGTGACCTCATCTAAATCTAATCACCTCCCAAATACTTCATCTCCAAATACCAGCACATTGAGGATAGGGCTTCAACATGTGAATTTTAGGGGCACACAGACCATAACAGTTGCTCCACCCCGACCTGAATTCCTCCAGTGGGGAGGGAGTCTAGGGTCTTAAAGACCTTATGAACAGATCTCATCGGTCCTAACATGTGCCATGTTTTTACTTCAAGGGGCTCAGTCCTTAGAGGATTCTCTGATGTAAATGAGTTGGTTCCCATTCCCCAGTGCTGGCTGGGGTCAGTGTGTGTGGGCTATAAAGTCAAATTCCCCCACCCCCCGCTCCCACCTTCACTTGTACAGCTTCCGAAGATTTCTTCTTGTTGTTCCTTCCTTTGTTTTTCCATCACTTAAAAAAACCCTTGTGCCATCATTTTAATGTCTGTCAGGGAGTGAGTTTACATGCATGTGTTCAAGCTGCCTGTTTGCCTGAGAGTTGAGAAAAGTTCATTTTAAGTTTGCAACCACACAAGGAAGTTTCCTTTTAAAATTTTATTTAATTTAGCGAACTGACAAATGCTGTGTTAAGTCTAGTTTTCTGCTTTAATCATGAATTTCCTATTTTTACACTGTCTCCGCAATTGTAACTGCATGTTCAGTGTTATTTCTGCAATATCTCTCTGACTGTCTTTAGAGAATGAGAAGGGAAGCAGTCGTGCTGGTTGAACTCAACCTCTTCATACCCGAAGTGGAGAATGCTGGAAAAGCTGCCCTTGACTAAGATCTAAGGATGATTTTAATCCTGGTGTAGCTAGATGTGAATCTTAGGTCTAAAATCCTGGCTGATATCCCTCTACTTCATGTGAAACCCATGGTACGTTGGCACAGTCTCTCTTAAAGAACAAAATCCTGGTTGGCAATAGTAATTACAAAGGAATTTCACTGATTACTTGTATTGTTTGAAAAATAATTGCGAAGATTCATTCTACAACCCAAGACTGCACATCTAAAACTCTATTCCCCAAATCTCCCCCCAAATCTCTGTCCACTTCCACAGGTCAGCCCATACAGCTCTGTTCCCCATGCCCCTTCTCTCTCAATCCCTTGTCACACAGCATGTTTTAGTGTCCCTGGTTCAGTTTGTATTGTTTCCTTGTTATCCTGCGTGTCCTCACATGGGAACTGGGATGACCCAGAGGGCTCTTCTTTGTGGCTGGAGGAGGTGACACATCTTACAAGGTAAGGAGGACGTTCTCTATCTGGCTGCAGAGTGACAGGGAGAAGGGTAGACAGGGACACGACAGACTTGATACGTCATATCAAGATCTCTTATTTGGGTAAATAGAAATCTCTGGAATTAAGACCTCATGATTTTTGGGGTCAGCATCCTCAGTGACTAGGCGTAAATCATTTTTTCTCATGTTCTTTTACTCCCCTTTTTTCTTTTTATGAAAGAGAAAAATCATTTTATTCTCTTTTCCTTACATATGCATCATGATGACTTCATCTGTTATTAACAATCATCTTCTGTTTAGGGAAGAAATGCATTATATTAATACAAGTTTTTGGATATTAATTAACTCATTTGACAAGCATCTGGTGCTTGTCAAGCATCTGGGCTGGCAGACATTTAACGTGACATTAAATAGTCTGTGATGAGGGTAATGATGGAGCGTGGGCTCAGGCTCAGGGATGAGAAAGGAGGGTGGAGTTGACAGAACCTGCAAGGAGAGCTGCCCACAGATACCAGGTCCTTCGATCAAGATCCCAGCACCCGCTTCCCCTGCGAGCAGGCCTGAGGCTGTTCACAGGGGTGCTATTATTTCTTCACGGTGACAGCAAGCATCTGCTGAGTCGGACCAATGGATAATCTCTCTGCGTTGGAGGGAGTCATTCAGTAATATTTCTGCATTGCAGAGCCCTAGGTATGATAACAATATAAAGGACGGGGAATTCGCCCAGGACAGTGGTCTGTGCTTGCACCCCTCCCCGCTCCTTGCAGAGCAGGCTGTGTTCCATGCATGACCTTTTCTTCAAGACAGACTCACAAGCATCCTATGTGAGGCCGGCACTGGGCTTTCTTGGAAGAACCAACGTAACTAATTGACTGAAATAAAGCCACAGGTCAACAGCACTCTAGGCTTATAGAGTACAGGAAGAGAGAGGCAACAGTTTTAATTGGGAAATATCTTTGCAGGTTCCTGTCTTATCTATAAGTCTCACCTGACCTCTTCCCTCTCCCACCTTTAAAAGGGATCAGGATACTGAAGACATGGGTGGCTCCCCTCTGGGGGGCACCACAGCCACCTTCGGAGTTTCCAAGGTAGAGGTTCCTGGCACAGCAAGGCCCACTGCACTAGGATTTCTGGAGCGCTGACACTGTGAGGATGTTGATGAAACAGACATAGAAACACCTAAACAAACTGTCGTGCTGTCAAAGTTCATCCCAATTTGCAGACTCGATGAACTTCAAATGTTCTTTCGTACTTCTCAGTGTTCAGGTGGTTGGCACTCAGCAATAGCCCAGGACAGGCATGGGAGTCACCTAGCTCTGGGAGCTCAGCCTCATCCTGAAACAGACCCCAACTGGCCACAGCAGTTACAGATGTACTTCCAACTCTTACCCTACCCAGAGGTGCTATGGTGAAAACCAGAAAACAGACAACAGTAACCTCCTCCATCCAAGAACCTTCGAGTCAGGAGAAGAACGTAATTTATGGGAGGGAATAGTTCATCCTTCTATGTTATAAGCCAAGGTCTCTCTCTCCTTCACATTTCAGGAAATCCTGTCAGCCCTTTGTCCACCGCTGCTTCGTTCAGCAGATGTCATTGGAGAACTTGTTCAATAGGAGGATGACTGTGTCTCTCCTTGCCAGGGCTTCCCAAGACCTAAGTCCAAAGGGGAACAGGCAGGCCCTCTGGCCCCAGGTGACAGGTCACTCAGTGTTCACAGGACCCCTGTCTCTACCTTCAGTCTCTTGACACCTATATCAGTCAGCTCGGGCTGTGTAACAAAGCACCACCAACTATGTGGCTTAAACAGCACACACTTATTCTCTCATAGTCCTGGAGTTGAAAGTCTGAGGTCAAGGTGTTGGCAGGGTTGGTTTCTCCTGAGGCCTTTCTCCTTGGTGTGTAGATAACCATC